TACCAAATTTACATCTTCATAGAATCGTAGGACCAATGTACTTCACAATAGCAATAAAAATAAATAAATAAATAATTGCAACCTCAAATAGATAGATCTGTATTTGCTTCTAAAAGGTCTCAGTTACCATATATAAACAATGATATCAAAAGGCCCCTATAGCTCAGTGGTAGAGCGTCAGTCTTGTAAACTGAAGGTCTGTAGTTCGATCCTGCATGGGGGCATATATTTTTTTTTTCTTTTTATTTTTTATTAGATTTATTTTAGACAACTCATATATCTATCTATTTTATATATTTAACAATGCTTTTTTATACGTTCATTCGTACGTCTATTTTTTGACTTATTTATTATTCGGATACTTATTTATTATTGGAATGTATTTAATTTATTTAGTATTTTATGTATTATTTTAAATATTTTGGGGACAACTAATTAACTGGAGAGTCCTATTGGGAGATTGACTCATGCAAACTCTGATTAAATATCAAACAATATGAAATTATTAGATTGTTAAAATTATATGATCAAGAAAATAGACTATTTTATAAGCACGTGTAAGTAATTTGTATGAAAACGTCATATTTAAAATATACTACAAGATATTTACAATATTATTATTATTATTATTTATTTATTTGTTTATTTATTTATTTTTGTGAAGATTTCTTCATCACACAATATGAATCTTTATTTTTATTTTTATTCTTTTTTTCCCTTTTTTTTTTTGTAATTTGTAATTGCAGAATATGAATCATTATTTTCCTGTGTCTTGGGATCTGAAAACGGGCCACGCAAATGGGGCAAATTGAACCCGAGTTCGGATTTATGTGGGTCAGGTTAAAGCCATTCCCCAGTCAATATTATTGACTCCCAAGTGGTTTATACTTCTTCACATGGAGATTTGAACATAAATCACAAACCAACTCAAGCTACATTGAAAAACAGGGGAAGGTCGATTGAGGCAACAATTTCAATTTTTTGCACAAATTTCGGTGCGAGACCGTCTAACCGTTAAGTAGGTCGAATCTATTCGTTTAAACTGTTTATTAGCGTATGACATTTCAATTTGAAAGTATGCATATCTGTTATTGTTAGGTCTACGTAACAACAACTTTACTGATTAGTTATATTAGTATTTACAAACAATATGAGTATGTACAAACAAGTCTGTTATTGTTAGGTCTACGTAACAACAACTTTACTGATTAGTTATATTAGTATTTACAAACAATATGAGTATGTACAAACAAGTCTTGTGTTAGGCCGCATAGTGTTGTAATCGAACCGAACAAGCTGAGCTTGTGCACGTCGAGCTCATGTTCGTTTATTTAGAACGTTGTTCGTGTTTGTTTGGTTATCTCGAGTTCGTATAATTGTTCGTCAAAGTTCGAGTTTGTTTATGTTCGAATAATTTATGACACAAACTTTCTAAATATGTTTGATGAACTCAAAATAATCACGTTCGAACTTGAAAATAAAATAGTAAAATAAATATTTTTATATTTTATATTTTTTATTATAAATATCATGTAAATATACAAAAAAAAATAATAATAATAATCTAATGTTCTAGAACATTCACGAACGAGTGTGTGTTCGTTTGACTATAAAACGAGTCTAATTTCCTGTTTGAACTCAGCTCGATTATTAAACGAACGAGCTCGAACGCTTTTGTTCGTGAACGTTCTAGAATAAATACTAAAAACGAGTCCAAGGGATGCTCTTGATGATGTAAGTGACATAAGTTTTTGGACAATTGATTTATAATAAAAGTGATACTAAAAGCTGAGGTGAATGAAGAGTGTATAGGCCTCGGGTGTGCATGTCGGTCTGGTTAATGGGATCAGGGAGCTTTTTTGTCGACACTGGGAGGTTCGAGTGCAACATATTTTCCGTGAAGCAAATTTTGCAGCTGATTACTTGGCTTCCTTTGCAGCGGGAGGACAATTGGGATATCACGTGCTTTCTGATCCACCAGCAGGGGTGTGCTCATGGCTACAACATGACCTCATCGGTGTAGCTTATCCACGGACCATGCAAGTCTCTAACTACTAGGATTATTCCTCTTTTATTGTACCAAAAAAAAAAAAAAATGAAGAGTGTATAGTTTGTTACCAGCAGCACACTATTACTTCAACAAATTAACTTACAAAATCATACCTATTCAACAGATTTATAACTAACAATATAAATAAAAATATGACACTTAATATTATAACTATACATTTTTGTTTCTAAAGTTCAGAGAATGGGCAGATAGAAATAGAACTATAGAAGTTGAGTTACTGCCAAAAGATAAAAGCACAAAAATCAGATCATTAATCAGTCACTCACTTGATACTACTTACTTCCCTTAAGTGTGTTCTGTATTCAGTCAAAACTTACCGAACCTCGGCTTATACTGTATTTGCTGGCGATATCCTCTTCTTTCCATTTACATTTTTCCTGCAAAAACACATTCAAGTGAGAGAGAGAGAGAGAGAGAGAGAGAGACAGAGAGAGAGACAGAGAGAGAGATGGATTACTGTAAGCATGTGGGTCCCTCCAAGCCGAGACGTTCTAGGAGCTCCTTTTTTCGAAGTTTATAATAGCCGGGCAGCTTTTGGTTCTTTGCAATAATCTTGAGATCATTGAGCCTTAACCTCTCAGTATCCTTAATAGGTAGCAATAAATCTTTCTCCTCAATAAAATCCTCAGCCATGCAATCTGAGGTTTTTTGAGCCGCCTTACGTTTATTTTGTGGCCCTTGTCTGAAAGTGGATAATGTCTTGGCACGGTTATCATCATTCAAAGTGTCTGCCGATGGCTTTGTGGGGACCACATTTTTGCCGAACACATTTTTGCCGAACACATTTTCTCGGTTCTTAATTGAAGATCGAGTTGTATTATGTTCCTCACGATCCAAGCCCAGCATTTCAACGCGTGCCTACCAAAAGATGCCATAGTAAATTTAGGGCTGTAAACAAGACGAGCCGAGATCGAGCTTAAGGTAACGAGCCAACAATCGAGCTCGAGCCGATCTCGAGCTTTAACGAGCCGAACTATAAATATTATATAAAAAATTTCTTTTCGAGCCTTATAGAGCTGACCCGAGCTCGGGCCTTAACGAGCCGAGCAGAGGCAGACTCGTTTAATTTAACAGCACTATCTATAACGATAGTTCAATACAATCTACAAGCAAATTCTCTTAACAATAAGGACATTATTCAACATTAACACAAATTAAAAGGTGAAGGGTTAGACCGAAGAAAACTTGAAAAGAGACAATAGAAAATGATTTACAAGTATTTTAATTTGAATGAGGATATGTGCTTTGATCGAGCAAATTCTCTAATAAAGCTTACCTTCTTACTTTTTCCCAACAAGTGATTTTCCAGCAGAGGTTTCACCACATCACAAAGTCTCTCAGCAACATTCTCAGGCTGTTGTATTTGAAACGCCAAATTTGATATGTTTTCCTCTGCGATTTCCCTCTTCACGCTCTCTATCAAAATATTGAGATGATCGATTTTTTCTGTCAGAGCTGCAGAGCAGGTTATGAACCAGTCCTCGTCATGCCACAACTGTTGTTGACATCTAATCATCATTATATCTTCTTCGAGTTTCTTGATTTCCTCATCTGCTTTTTCGATCCATATTTTAAGGACTTGTACACAAGATTTCTCGTTCAAGATATCTTCTTCTATCACATCTTGTGAAAAAACATAAATAAATAAGAACTAGTTTAGTAAAATCACGATTTGATCAGATTAGGAAATAACTTTAGCAAATACCAGAATATTTAATCTAACTCACCACGCCCAAAACCGAAATAATAGTCGCACGTCTGATTATTATCTCCATAATCGTAACCCATCTGCCCTGTAAACAATCACATTAACTGCAAATGTTCAATTGGAACAAAGTTGAAGTATAGTATAGATGACAAACCAAATCCCAACTTTGTTACAATCAATGCAGAGATCTTCACCGAGCCCGTGTCTCTCTCAGAGGCAAAATCCATCACTTAAATACAAACTTAATGAGTGTCCATTTTCTTCAATTTTATCAAATCGAATGGCATAGGAAATGGCAATTCAAATTTAGCTAGGTTCATTTGCATTACTTGACAATATCTAACGACTTTTTCAGTTTTCTCAATTTCCTTGCATCCTTCACTAAAACCAGATTCCTCTCGGATTAAAAATTAGTTCGATTTTCCGATGCTATAGTAGACCAG